ACCCCCCCGCCCCCGGCTCTAACCTCTAGACCCCACCCGGGCTCCCTGCTCCAACTAGACTAACCAGACCAAAGCGTTTCCTCACGATCCTTCTGCCTCAGATGTGCTGGCCCCCATTAACGCCAGTCCTGCTCTGTCTCACTGGTTTGTATCTGCAGAAGCAGCCCCCAACCCCTCCCCTGCATTGTCCCTGCAGGCCGGAGGGCACAGGACTCTTAGACAAGTCAGCTGGTCTGGGGAGCTGGGAGCAGTCTCCTCTCTATGGATGGAGCCCGGTGGTAGAGCCCTTTCAGCGCTGACCAGCTGGCTACCTCCCTTATCGGACGTTACTAAGGTCCCAGGTGCTGGATCCAGGCGTTCTGGGGGTGCTACACCCCCCGGCTGGGAGTCGCCAGGGCATAAACTCAAACTCAAGGCATCCACCTTCAGCGTCCCGGGGAGGAGTCCAGACCCCAGGCGGTGGCTGGCCGAGAGGGCTCGCCTCAGTGACAGCCACAGCTGGCGGCCACCATGTCTTTGTAATTCTTCAGCACCACGTTCTCGTTGTCGTCGAAGTACATGATGCTGATGGAATTCAGCTTGTCCGGGACACAGCACGGCGTGCTGACCTCCTTGGACAGCTTCAGCGTGTGGACGATGGACTGGACCGTCGCGTGGTTGGTGGCCCGGAGGCTTTCCCCCAAGGGGAACAGGCAGGCCCCCTTGCAGTAATAAGCCTTGTAGCCACGAGGGAAAATGATCCAGCCCGCCCAACCGATCTCATGGAAGTCCACGAAGAGATCGCTGAGCTGGCATGGCACAATGGGGTCTCTGGGGGAGAAGGCCGAGGTGTCCCGAATTCTTCTGCTCTTGTTCACTCTGATGTTCGCCAAGACCTCGTTCTGGCGAGGCAAGGAGGAGGAAGCAGCATCGTCGGGCGCGGCCGGCTGGAATTCTAAAAGCGAGAGGATGTGACGAGGTAAGTACGCCTGGGCCAGGAAGAACGCCGCGGTTTCGCCCCTACGTTGGGACAAGGGGATTGCTCTTAGAGGAGAGCATCCCCCTGACACACAGACATTTAAACACGACTCTCCTGCCTGTAGAACGGCAGGGACGCTTTATGCTACAGCTACACCACGAGGAAGGGCGGGAGGCCCTGGAGCGTGTACAGAGGCGCTTGTACAGATCTCAGACAAATGCAAAGAGCAGAGCGTGAGGAGTGGCAGTGGAGATACGGGTTAGCCGTGTGCGTGCTACCCCTGGCTTGGTCGTGTCTCCACTACACTGCTTCCATGGCTACTCTGGAGCTCGGGCGGGGACGGATGCACAGGCAGGGGAATCACATCCCCAGCTGGAAATGTAGACACAACCTCAGACAATGATGGGGTTGTAAATCAGGGATATTGACACGTGAGGCTGCTCCGCATGCGGGACCAAATCTGGAGGGCATCCTCTAGGGATGTTAAAAGGCGTGTGTATTTGTGTAAAAGTGAACATTTTTAGCAGCTACCCGTTTACACACGGGGGAGGGGAAGTGGCAGCCGGTGCGTGTACCGGCTCCTGCCCACGTGGCTGCCTCCTATACAGAAGCAGCGGGGAGGGAGAGGCGACTGCGTGTGACCGTGTACTCGAGCGCACGGTCACATCCCTAGAATTGGAGACCAAGGCCAGACGGGACCACTGTGATCGTCTCCTCTGCCCTCCTATGCCAGGCCCTGGGGCTGGTGGCTGCAGTGGGATCAGGTGAGCAGTGGGGGGGACTAAGGCAGCTCCCTGCCTCTCCTGGCACCACAGACTGCGCTGTGTCCCAGATGTGGCTGGCAGCAGGCCCGGCTCCTAGGAGAGGGAGCGCACAGGGCTTCGTGCACTCCTCCTCCCCCCAGGAAATGAAATTGACAGGTATCAGGTTTAAAACAAACAAAAGGACTTTTTTCTTCATGCAGAAAAGAGTCAACTTGTGGAACTCCTTGCCAGAGGATGTTGTGAATACTAGGACTTTAACAGGGTTCAAGAAATAATTAGACAAATTCATGGCGATTAGGTCCATCAATACTTATTGGCCAGGATGAGTAGGGATGATGTTCCTGGCCTCTGTTTGTCAGAGGTTACAAATGGGTGACAGGAGGGATCATGTAACGACTCCCTGTTCTGTTCACTCCCTCTGGGGCACCTGCTATTGGCTACTGTGGGCAGACAGGACACTGGGCTAGATGGACCTTTGGTCTGACCCAGCCCGGCCGCTCTGATGTTCTTAGAACGTAAGTAATAAAACGACGGTATCAAAGCAACCTGAACAGCGGCAAACTGGAATCAGCTTCCGGGCCAGCAACTGCATCTGATTAGTGAAACCATCTGCAGAAAATGCACCAGGCAGTAGCAGAACAAACGAGTGAGATTTCCTGTTGCCTTGACTGACCTGTGGAGGAGGGGAGGAAATGGGAAGCTCTCTGCCGGTCATGATTGGTGAAGAGGACCAAGAAGGCATTCCGACTGTCCCGCAGATTGCGCTGGCTCTTGGCAAACCTGACGAAGTTGACTTCCATTTTGTTTTTAGACACGTGAGTGGTACTGATCAGGAAGCCGCGGTTCATGCTGCTGTTTCCAACCCATCTGGAAACCTTGGCACAAAAAGAAAAAAGGCATTTGAAGGAGCCGCTCTCATTCGGATTAAATAACGTTCATCTGGGGAGCAGGAATAGGCCAGGGGCTGTCAAATGTTCTGGCCCGCCCTGCTCAATGCAAACCTTTCCACGGACCACCAGCCAACCGACCATGACCACAAAACGGGTGCAGGAGCCGGCGGGGAGGTCTGAAACGTCTGCAACACGACAGCCCTTATCTCTAAGTTTTGGAGAATTTACTAGCAAACTGACTGATTAACCTACAAGTTAAAATTAGGTTTAGATTAGATCCTCGTCAGGAAGTTACAACCCTCTGTCCGACTTCTCTATTCCTAAGTAATCTTACTAATGGAACAATACAGCTGCTCCAGGGCTTCCACATTGTTAAAACGCATTTACATCTCACGCACAGGTTCCATCTGTAGAATTAAGCAAGCAAGCGAAGTTATTGACCATTGCTGTATCTAACTATTGTAGAGTAACAGGTAAAGTTCGGTCATTGGCTCAGGTTGACTCTTGACTCAGGCCACTGGGACATCAGAAGTAATGTGACCCGTCAGCCACAGCATACTTGTGAATATGCTCCTCATGATAAAATTAATTAATCATATGAGGCTGATGCTACAGATTTTCAAGTCAGTACTCTTATCAGACGGGTAATTTTGTTGCGTTAAGTGAAATTCCCCACACGCTAACAGCCCCCAGAGAAATAGCTTCAGATGGAGAGAAGGTTGAGAGCACAATAATTTAAGGGTATCTTCAAAATAAGTACTACAAACCAGAGAGATTTAGAGTTAAAGATACACTTATAAGAATCCAGAGATATTAAGATATGGAAAATATAAAGTTAAAACATCCAAACAACCTTAACTCTGCCCTATAGCGATGTTGTACGTGCAACAACAAAAATGAAAAACCAATTTCTCCTAAGCAATTGGTGTCATTGACCATGGGGCTGCAAACATTAAAATACTTTAATCATAGCTATGTAGACAAGCCTCAGAGAGGCATCTGTGTTAATCTGCGTCTGTGAAAACAACGTGTCCTGTGGCACCTTAAAGACTAACATTTCTTTGGGCATAAGCTTTTGGGGGTCAAAACCAAGCTAATAGAGGATCCTCTTATTATTTAGAAGCTGCATACAGCCTACAACAGCCAAATAACCTTAACTCTGCCCATCGTGACAGCAGGCAATGACTACATAGCTACGAAACAACAAGGAGTCCTGTGAGGTTTTGACCCATGAAAGCTTCAGCCCAAATAAATGTTAGTCTTTATGGTGTCACAGGACTCCTCGCTCTTTCGTAGCTACGTAGTCATTGCCTGCTGTCATGATAGGCAGAGTTAAGGTTATTTGGCTGTTGTAGGCTGTATGAAGCTTCTAAATAATAAGAGGATCCTCTATTAGCTCAATTTATCAGGCTTTGGAGCTACATAACTTAAGGTCCTGTCTCTGCTAATGCCCTGAAGTTTCAGTTTCCAGCCCAGTGACATATATGGAGTTCCTACCCAGGGCTGTGAATGTGTTACAATATCGTTTGCATTAAAAACAATGGAACTAAGAATTCTCTGCTTACTGTCTGCGTGACGTTGAACACTTCCCAGCCTTCGGTGTACATCGACAACAGTCTGGATGAAATGAGAGTTCTTCTCTCTGGCGTACTTCCCCTGTCCAAAACCTCATACACCTCCACCTGAAATAGGGTGATACAGCATAATAGCATTAAGTGGGGGACAACTGATTCCCTCTAAAAAAAAAAGGTCAACATCAAACACACACATTTCCTTCACTTCCAGGATGGATTTCCCCTGTCTGGTGACCTGGACTGACACTAGCAGGTTGCTTCTGGTCTGTTTCACATCAGAAGTCGTGTACATTTACTAGATATCTACAGATACAGATCTCTCTGTATATCCAAAGCACTATAGAAACTCATACCTGCAACCATCAGTAATATTTTTAGGGGTAAGTAATAAATAAGAACTTGTATATTTGGTAATGAACATATACATACAAATTATAAACTTAAAAAACTACAAATAGTCTAGTAGCACTTTAAAGACTAACAAAACATATAGACGGTATCATGAGCTTTCGTGGGCACAGCCTACTTCTTCAGATGAAAATTATAGTATATTGTATAGTATCCAAGTGCTGAGATGATATGCACAAAAGCTTGTCTATACGCACCCGGAGATCAACACTCTGGAGATCTATCTTCTGGGGTGCCATTTAGCACGTCTAAGGACCCACTAAATCAAACAGACCCCGGTACTCCATGGGATCGTGAGGAGTAAGGGAGCCGATGAAAGATTTTCTCCTATCAACCTCCTGCAGTGGGGTTGCCGGAGAAATTCGATTTAAAGTACATCGACTCCAGCTACACTATTCACGTAGCTGGAGTTGCACATCTTAAATTGAATTTCTCACCTAGTGTAGACCTGGCCTACGAGTGACACAAAACAAAATATCTGCAAATGGGAAACCACCTGCCGAAATATTTTGGTTTTTTTGGCCACTTAATATTGTTTCAAGTTCACGTTGTGTTCGCAAGCCTCCCGATTCCCTCAAGATGGATTCGAGCTGCAGAATTCGGATCAGGATCGCAAATATAGGGTGATCCCTGTCCACAATATAGTGTGGCTGCAATTTGAGCATGCCTTTAGAGATCACTAAACTATCCAGCTTGCTTTTGCATGGATAAACCCGTTAACTGTTTGACAGCATGACTGTTTTATTGCAAAAAGCTAAGGGGAGCGGGGGAAAGCCCCAATAGCATTGCAACAGCTCCCCAAAAACCTGGCTGAATCTCTTTGCTTGTTGGAGTCAAAGAAACAGATCCAACTTCTACATTGCTGGCAGTGAGCACGTAAAGCATGGAACAATTTAATGGGCAAAGTGGTTGCAGTCTCATTTTCTTTCGTGTGTGTTTCTTTTTTAAAAATTGGTTCGCTTAAAGACATCATCCTATTCATGACAATAAATGAATAATTAATTAACTGGCTGAATCTCTTTGCTTGTTGGAGTCAAAGAAACAGATCCAACTTCTACATTGCTGGCAGTGAGCACGTAAAGCATGGAACAATTTAATGGGCAAAGTGGTTGCAGTCTCATTTTCTTTCGTGTGTGTTTCTTTTTTAAAAATTGGTTCGCTTAAAGACATCATCCTATTCATGACAATAAATGAATAATTAATTAA